GGATTATGCTTGGAGCAGGGGCAGCTTGTGAAGCTTTTTCCCCCTCTTCTCCAGTTTTGAAATAGAAACAGGGCCTGACATCTGTGTTTCTGAGCAGTGTGCAGAGCTGTGGGGCAAGCAGGGAGGCCTGCCTGGGGCTCCCCACTGTCTCCGTGGGCTGGATCCAATGGCTTGGTGGGCCAGATCTGGCCCGCGGGCCGTATTTATGCTTGGAGCAGGGGCAGCTTGTGAAGCTTTTTCCCCCTCTTCTCCAGTTTTGAAATAGAAACAGGGCCTGACATCTGTGTTTCTGAGCAGTGTGCAGAGCTGTGGGGCAAGCAGGGAGGCCTGCCTGGGGCTCCCCACTGTCTCCGTGGGCTGGATCCAATGGCTTGGTGGGCCAGATCTGGCCCGCGGGCCGTATTTTGCGTAGGCCTGTGTCAGAGGCTTTTCAGTGCTGCAGTTTAGGATGGGGAAGAGATGTGTACTAATACATTTGTGAAGCCTTTGTTTTGAGACAGCAGTTTTAAAGTATGAATATTCCCTTTAGAGCTTTGCACAAGTTTGTATATTTTAAAATCATACGAAGGGAGGGAAAGGATAGAATCTCCATTGCGGCACACAAATCTTTCATGTGAAAAACTTCTCATCTTCACATTTTGGCCCTGTTTACTCTTGTAAATTAAATAAATGCAGTACATGTTTTGAAACTTATCCTCATACTATAATGACTAGAAACTAAAGCTGTCAAGTGATTAAAAATCATTGTGATTTCAAAATTGTGATAATGCAATTATGCTTTTAAACAATAATATAATACCATTTATTTAAATATTTGCATGTTCTCTACAGTTTTGAATGTTAATTTCAATTACAAAACAGAATACCAAGTGTATACTGCTCACTTTATATTTTTGACTAGAAGATTTACCAGGCATTGCTTGGCTCTTAAAATAGAGAGATGTGAAAATAGAGAGATGAAATAGATGTGACATCACAGCTGTGTATGGAGTGAATGAATAAACATCATTTAGAAACTTGACAAAATACCACTGGATTTGATTTTGCTTGCGTTTCTCCTTGTGGATGAGTCACAGCCAGATACAGTAAACACAATGTCCAGGTATTCTTTGGGGAAACTTTCATCCAGCTGGGATTAACAGTTGCCATTTGTTTATGGGAGAGGTTAAGCAAACAAATACAATCACATAATATTGTACAGCTGAATGCTAGAATAAAAGGTGCTCCAAAAATATGTATACTATGGGGAAATCTTGAATTGCTCCAATTCAGATACATTCAAACTGTGAATGTTAAGTACCATTTAACTAGGTAATTGAGTAGTCGATGGAATTTCCATTGACTACTCAATTAGTTAAGGGAGGGCACTCGCTACTCTGGCTGAGGCTCTGTAGTTTACGTGTAGTAAGAGCTGGGTGTACAGGCAGCCTGGCTCCTACTACATTTAAACTGCAGAGCAGCAGTGGCGTTAGCTCCCAAGGGCAGTGCGAGCAGATACTGAGCAGTCCCAGCTCATGCCGGGTCCCCAGTCGCTGCCCCTCTGGCTTTTGAATATAGTAAGAGCTGCTTGGTATCTCTGCATATCCCCCGGGCGGCTTTTACAACATTTAAAGGCAGAGGCACAGTGGGCAGGGATCTGGCTTGCTAAGAATGTACTAAGAATCAGGCAGCTCTTATTACCTTTACAAGGCAGATCCTCAGTGTTTGGATCTCCCAGTGCGCTTCTACCTCCTCTGCCCCTCCCTGCGGAGAACCAAAGCTGGCTCCCCCCCAGCACAGGCTCCTGCTCCTTCCCCTTGCTGCCTCTGATACAGAGGCAGCAAGTGGGAGAAGCGAGTAGTCAAGTAGTGACTCCACGAGCCTAGCCTTATCGGGTAGTAAACTACTCAACTAGTCTCTACATTCTTAGTTCAAACCTGTTTTGCTGGTTCACAAACTGAGTTCTATTGAAATGAGAATATGTATTTCTTTTTATTCTTTCTAGGCTGATGGAACTCAGACATGCATTGAGATTCTGCTTTCCACCTTATCAGAGGCAGAGAAAATTGAGCGCTGGTCACAGGGCTGTTTTCCATGGTGCCTGAGAGACAAGGCAGGGGAGAGAATGCAGAGTGAATGAATAGGATTAGCTAGGATCCCTTGCTGTCAGTTCCAAGGGTCAGAAGAAGTGTGATGGATGAGAAATATATTTTTCTTTTCAACAGCCAGAAAGGGGTACAACAGTTGGGATACAAATGAAAGGTGTATAATTATTTGCATCACATGTTTATTCTCTTAGTGTGCTACTGAATAGAATGTAGGTTTTGGGTAGGAATGATAGCAATTCTTTATTTTTGTCAACATGTAAATGTTATATGTTTACATGTGGGTGGGGGGCAGGCGGGAGTTGGGGCTCATGGCGAGCCACCGTTTAAGCCAGCTCCTCGCAAGCACCAGCTCCTGCCTCCCCTCTGTCACCTCTGATACAGAGGCAGCAGCTGCCGGGGGAAGGAGTGGGTTGTACGGAGCTGGCATGCGCAGGGAGCTGGTTTGAAAGCTGGGTTTCCGTGTATACCACTTCCTCCTCAGCCCTCTGCATTGCTGCCTGTCTATCAGAGGCAGCAGCGTGGGGCAGGTGACCTCCCCCTTCCCTGCCCCCTGAGAGGCAGCATGGTGGGAAGGCAGGTGACTCTATGGGAGCTGGCACACTTGAAGAGCCAGCTTCCCACGTGTGTCGGCTTCCATCTGCCTCCCCTGTTTCCTCCCACCATGCTGCTGCCTCTATCAGGGGAGGAGCTCTATGGGAGCCAGTATGTGCAGGGAGCCAGCTCTCAAGCTACCTCCCCGTGTGTACCGGCTCTCTCCTGCCCCCCTCATCCTCCACATGGCTGCTTCTCTATCAGAGGAGTAGTGGGGGGGTGGCTTCATGGGGAGCCAGCTTTTAAGCCAGCACCCAACAAGAACTGGCTTCTGCCTGCCTCTCTGTGCCTCTGCACCTGGAGGCGGCAGCAGGTGGCTTCACAGGAGCTGTCTTAAATACTGGCTCACGGCAGGGACTGCTTCCTTCCTCCCCCCCCGCCCCCCCAATCCCTTGCTGCCTCTCATAAAGAGGCAGCATGGGGGAGGGTGAATGTAGTTAGGATTAACTGATTAAACCCAGGCTTATCTGTTAACCATGTGAACAACTACATGTTATAACATCCCTAGTTGGGGGGGCGAACTCTTCAAAGGGAAAAAGGAAGTTAGGCACCCAACTTGAAAATCTTTCCATTATACTACCAAAAGTAGCAATTTATAAGGGCAAGTTACCTTACTTCTGTGTCTAAACAACTTAAACCCCCTCCCTCCCGTTCCTTGTAATGTAGGTGTGGTTAGGTGCAAAGTAGTGGTATAGTGTCTTGACTGTCTGATATTGTATTGTGATGTGTCTTGAAGTTTAAACAGTAGGTGATGACATTGACTTTAATGCGACTTTGGGATGTCATGTCAGATTGCTAACCCTAATTTTGTGGTGACCATCCTCCATTTGTTCTCTTTTCAAGATTGAGTACCTCTGTTTCCAGAGTAGTAGTGGTTAGAATAGTTTGGGAAAACTTTGAGTAGCTTACTGAATAGAGTATATGCAGTTGTTAGGGTTAGGGAAGGCTGAGCCTCAGAAGGAAGATACAGAATATTTTTCAGACCCCAGTTTGACCAGTCTGAGGGGGTCTTTACATGAGAACTTGTGTTTTTAAACCAAGTCCTGCAAAAGCATGCTACTATGAGTACATATATCAGTAGTACTCTGTTTTGCTTTGAAATGTAACCCTTTTCATTGGCAGGTGCTATTGGTGAGCAGTAGTCGCCATCCAGATAGATGGATTGTCCCAGGCGGGGGTATGGAACCTGAGGAGGAACCCAGTGTGGCTGCTGTGCGGGAAGTCTGTGAAGAGGTAAGTACCCTACAAGAACAAAACACTTAGCAACACTCTATGGTCGGTAGTTGGCTGTTTCCTTATTCATCTCTGTTCCTTCCGTTCCCCTGCTGCCAAAATATTTGCGTGTTGTGAGAAATCTTTTCTGTGTTGGTTCATTTTTCAGTATTCCCGCAATTTATTACAGGTACTAAATAGTGCTTGCATTATCAGTGACAATGTCTGTTACTATACTTATGTCTCTATCTGCATATCCTTAAGGGTAAAAATTAGGGCTGTCAAGCGATTAAAAAATATAATTGCGATTAATTGCATGTGCCTCCCCTCTGAAGTGCTGTGGCTGAGCCCGGGCTCCATGCAAGTGTTGTCCCTTGGAAGTGCTGCAGCGCATTAGAAGCTTGGTACCAGCTGGGGACTCCAGCTGATCCCTGGCTCTGCTGAAGCCCCTTTGAAGCACCAAAATGGCACTTCAAAGGGGCAGTGCAGCATTACTGCGTTAATCGCAGACGTTAATGCAGGTCAACTGACAGCCCTAGTAAAAATTATTTAAAGTCAACTGCAAAGTTCATGTGTAATAGAGGACTGACTACAGGTTCCATAAGTGCATAACGAGAACCCTGCAAATCTGATGATATCTGTGGGTATCTGTGAACATGGATATGCGCGGTGCTCTTTTGTGGATATGCATGTGGACAAAAATACAAATTTTGTATCTAAAACACTGCAGATTTGCAGGTATCTGTGGCTCATTTTTTGCAGATACTGACATGGATGCAGATGCACCATTTTGTATCCACGCAGGGCTCTGTGTGTAACTTCTAAATTGAACAGGATTTATGTGGAGCATAAAACAGAATACTTTCATTCTTACAAGAGATTTTGTATCTATTTAAGAAACTTATAAATATATACCTAATAGTATTCTTTTCCCTTCCTTTAACTGTGACATTACATAAATTCTTTTCAGTAATATGTGCATTTTATGTCTTAAAGGTCCCAACATAGCTATACAGTGATTTAAGTTTGGCTGTCCCATTCAATGTCTTGCTGTGAAGAGGCAGCCTTTTCCATTCTCTGTACAGCTTTTACTTTAAGTAGTCTTTTGGGTCCTGTTTGATTTGTATCTAATAGATGGATACAAGCTCCTGACTGCTGTTACTAGAATTTAAAATGTGTTTTTGAATGGCTGGTGATGCTTCTTCTGTACAAATATAATATAGGTATCCTGTTTTTTAAGGAAAGAAACTAAAGTTTTGTTAGTGCTAATAACATGGAACGCTTGATACCAACAGTCTTGTGCAAAATCCCCACAAAAACATTAAAAGATCAGGATTATCAGTCAACACAGTCAGTTTTTCTCGAATTCAGGATCTATCTACTCTTTTGGAAAGGTACATTGACTAATGTAGGGGTGAAAAATTATTTTATAACCTACAAAACTGATATAGAATGAGAAGAGTATGTATGGTGAGTCACCATTTTTCAGCACTTCAGAGTATTTTTCTTACTGTTTCCTACTTCCAAATTCCAAAATGAATTTTCAAGTTAAATAGTTATGATTTTAAAAGAAAAGACTATACATTCGGGAATAAAAATGCATAGAAGATTGGAAACTACATGAAGACTGTTAAAATGACAGTAGCTGGAGAAGTGAAGGTTCTTGTATTAGTACCAAGATTATTGGAAGAGAGCAGACAGTGTTCAGGAATTGGAGAGTGATGTTCATGTGCTTGGTTGAGCAAGTTTCCAAGGTTTTTTAAACTGAGGACAGTTTTGAATTTGATATTAAAATCAATAGGGGTTCAGTGGAGTTGTGAGAAGACAGAAGCATTTTGTATGTGTTTATAGTTGGCAGTGGTAAGGAACCGGGAAAACTTGTAGTAATCGAGATGGGAGGAAATGAACTCATGTTCAACAGGCTTTTGTCTGAGACCTTTTGTTGAAAAGTTAAAATGAAGCTAGAATAATTTTTGAGCCCTGTATTGGGATGAATTTTACATTGTATTGTCTGTAAAATTCAGTTTCTTAAAAAATAGCTTCATACAAGACATGTCCTTACAGAATGGTCCAACAGTTGGTATAGAACTCCTGTGGGCAATAACTTTTTGATGGGGAGCCCCTTCAGAAATTTCTAAAGTGGCCCTGGGCCGCCCTTGAAGGGTCAGAGCCAGGGCCAGGGCAATTCTGTGCTTTTCCAACCACATCATGGAGGGCGTAGGGGGCTCCCACTCCCCCCACTGCTGCCTTTGTGGAAGACTGGGGGGAGGCAGCTCCTTCCTCCTTCTCCCCCCCCAACCCAAGCGGTGATGGGGAGTGTGTGTAGTTAATAAGTAGTAGTCCTTATCAGTTAACCATCTAGTTGACAACACATTGACATCCCTAGTTCCCTCCAGCTCTAGGAGACACTGATCTGGAAATGACTGCTGACACACACAGTACTGGACTAGATGGTCTCTAGGTCTGGTCTAATACAACAATTCCTGTATTCTGTGTATATATTCAGATGTCCTCAATCTTCATATCAGATTTCAAAATCCTTATCTATACTGCCTTCTGTATACATTCCAAGGCAGCCTCTTAATAGCAAAATATCTTTCCTATTTAACCCACGTCTAATAACAGATTTTCATGAAACTGCCATTTTTTATTTACAGCACAATTGGTACTGTATTTTATTGCTATAAAAGAAATAGGTTCATGCACATCTTAAAATTTAAAAATCATATTTAGAAACCAACTAAAACATTGCATGCTTTAGTGTGTGTTCAAAATGTTCCACTTTTGTTTCCCCACATATTATGCTTTGTGCTGAAAATCAAATAAGGTCAGAGCTGAGATTGTCTTCTTCCCCCAGTTGTGTTAGGAGGATTGTGGAGCAGGTTATTGAACTTTGTACTTGGTTCACCTCCGTTGTATAATTAAACCATGTCATTCAGTTTCAAATGCAGGTGGGGTTAATTGTGCTTGTGAAAATACTTGGCAGCACCCATCTCTCTCTCCCAGCTATTCATTTTCTTGTATACCCTGGATAAAATAAAATGGCGAAGATTGAAAAAGAGCCCCTCTTCCCAAAGTTCTTCTGAAGGCTATTTTTGGTGGGAGTGGGGGGTGTTCCTACGAAGGTCACGTTTTCCAATAGCTCATCTCTTTGAAAGTGAGGAGAAACTGCTCAATTTTCTTGTTTCCAAGCTGTAACATGGTACACTGAACTTGAGCTTCTAATAATCTAAGAATATAGCAAAATATTGTGCTGGCAAGCGTCAAAGGACAAATGATATTAAGTTTAATCACACTAGTGAAAAATGTTCTACTTATGGACACAGCCCTGCTTTACAAACAAAATCACTATTAATAATAATTAAGCTATTTGATATCGAAGTCAAAGGTTCATTGAGCAGAGCGGTGGCTTCACCTTTCAAATCCAAAAATAAATCTGCATTGACCCTTCCTTTCTCTGGCAGCTGAGAGCCTTGGAAAAGCTGCTCTTTCAACCACTGAGCTGTCATGGAAAGGAAGCCTTGGCATGGACTACATTTGCAGTGAAGAAACTGGTTTGGGCTGGCTGAGATAATCCCCTGTTGCTCAGCTGGTGTTTGCTTGCTCACATGTATTACTGCATAATGAGACTGTATTTCAAACTGTGGCAGCCTAGCAGGGTTGAGTTGCTTTGAGTAAAGTACCTGCCTGCTTGAATGCTGTTCAACAAACAATAAACATTAAAAATGCCAGGAGAAGCAGGGTTACAGAAACAGCTGATCGCTGCAGCACACAAACATATCTCCAGGGATTTCAGATTCCAGTTCTGCCCTCAATCTATCAGATGCTGTCACGATGAAGACTCCTCTCGAAATGAACGTCAGAAGAACGATTTGAAAGGGTACTGGGTTATAGCAGGGAGGGGGAGATGTTTGGCTCTGGGAAAGGGAAGGGGAGGTGAAGGGAGGGGCATTGGATTGGGAGTATGCCCCTGTGATGGATCTACTGGGAAACCCAGCTGCTGGCCTGCAAGAAGGGGTAGAGGAGAGGGGGCATGGCGTCTGGCAAGGGGGTGTCAGCGAGGAATGGTGTGGCGAGCGGTGAACCCTCCGCCTCTTTGCAGGGAGACTGGGGAAGCCCCGCGCAGCCACTGGCAATGGGCTGGCTAGGAAAATCATGTTATTCCAAGGACGGTCGTGTAATTAAAAAAAGTTCCCTAAAAAAAAAAAAATTGTGCTATCACAAAAACGTGTTAAGCGGGCACGTGTTAAATGAGGAATTGCTGTATACTGAAACCTGTAGGAGAGCACTTCCGACTCCCTGGACACACAGTAGCAGATTTAAGGGTAGCCATCCTGCAGCAAAAAAACCTTCAAGACCAGACTTCAAAGAGAAGCTACTGAACTACAGTTCATCTGCAAGTTTGACACCGTCAGTTTAGGATTAAACAAAGACTGTGAATGGCTAGCCAACTACAAAAGCAGTTTCTCCTCTCTTGGTGTTCACACCTCCAGATCAGCTGCTAGAAGTGGGCCTCACCCTCCCTGACTGAATTAACCTAATTATTTCTAGCTTTATTCTGGCCTGCATATTTATAGCTGTCTCTGGAAATTTCCACCACGTGCATCTGATGAAGTGGGTCTTTGCCCACGAAAGCTTATGCTCCAATACATCTGTTAGTCTGTAAGGTGCCACAGAGCTCCTTGTCGTCCTAGTGAACTAGCCACACTCAAGCAGCCAAATAGTCACATGTGGCTAGTGACTAGCATGTTGGACACCTAGACCTTGCTGGCTCTCTTGTAGCCTGCATCATGGGCTATAGCAAATTCATGGCTCCTTGGACCTCCAGGGAATTTGGAACTTGCCTAACAGGTTCCCCAGGATTCCAGGGCTGCTGCTGACTCTCTCTCCAGCTAGTTCCTTGGGCTGCTTTCCTGGCTTTCAGTCTTCCCCAGTGGCTGGTTATCCAGCTCTCTGTGCTGCCCACCTGATGGGCTGACTCCTTAGGGCAGTGGTTCCCAACTGCTGGGCTGTGGCCTGCTGCCAGGCCACGGCGGCTCTAGGGAATACATTGCTCCTGAGACAGCTTTTGGGAGAAACATGTCCTGCCCCGCCTCTCAGCCAACCAGGGCAGGGGTAGAGTCTCTTCCTCTACATGGAGGAGTGGTTCACACTGCGGTGGGAGGGCCGCACAGAGCCTGGCATGTCAACCTTAGAGCAACCGCGACCCAGGTAGCTACGCTCAGCTAGCGGCAGGGAGATAGTGCAGGGCTAGGTGAGGGGGTGTGGAGCAGGCTCTGGAGCAGGCTCTGGAGGTTCTGGGGGCAGAGGGAGGTCTAAGTAGTGGGGGGCTCTTAAGAGGTGGGGAGCTGACATTGGGTGATACTGAGGACGGGGATAATATTGGGAACTGGGCTGGCTGTGCGGAGGACTCGGGGTGGGGTTGGGTGCAGTGGGTCTCTGGAAATAGCAGGCTGTCACTGAGGGTTCTGGTGGTGGGGGGCTCTAAGGAGCGGGGGGCTGGCACTGAGATGTTTGGGATGGGGGCTGGCACTGGGGTTTGGGTGCAGGACACTCAGATCATTAGCTGGTGCTGGGGGGTAGTGGAGGGGTGGGGGACTCTAGAGGTTAGGGCTGGCACTGGGGGATGCTGGGGGCCAGGACATTTGGTGGACTGGTAACATTCTATTATATATAATGAATATACAAAATCATGAATATGCAGATATGCAAATAGAAAGTTACTGGTCCGCCAAAAGTTTGCGACTGGGTTTACCAGTCCCCGGTGTTTTAAAAAAAAAAAAAAAAAAGGCAGCAGCAGCTTGGGAACCTCTGTCTTAGGGTAAAAGAGAATTGGCTAGAAAAGTTGGAAAAGTTCCATTTCAGGTATCCTGAAATTAAATTTGTTTTTTCCATTGCATAGGAAAATCCGCTTTTCAGACTTATTGTTCATTTCCAAAATGAAAACTTTTTCAGAAATATGAATTGATTGGTTTGTGATACATGATAAAACAGCCTATCAGTTAATAAAATATTTGTGACTTCTACTACCAATTTTATTTGTAAGAATAATAAATAAGGAGAATTAGAAAATAATCTGCTGTCTGTACAGATTCCTTGAAATTTCGCATGTCTCCAGTTCCATTGTAGTACAATTAACTTTGAATTATAATTAGCACAGTTGGCATTGTGCTATCTAAATGCCTTATTCATCTTCAGGTTACAAACATGAATGGTAATTTAAGATATACTTTTTCATCTGCTGTAACCTTCCATTTGCTAGCAAAATTAATTGCTAATCAAGCTTAGTGTAGGAAGACTAGAAACAGTAATGGGGAACCCTAAATTTTAAACTACCCTAACTAATCCAGTATGTATTAAAGCTGGGGTTGCAAGGTATTTAGCACATCTGGCGCATAAACTTTCATATGCGTCTTTATGGTTTGACTTATGGGCTCTAAAGGTTTTACTTTTTTTTTTCTTGTAACTGTGTTGAAAAATAAAACATAAATAAGAATTCTACATGAAGTTGCACTTCCATGATGGGATTGTACTACAGTACTTATTTACATTTGAAACTGTAGAAAAACATTCAAAAATATTTATAGTAAATTGAAATGGGTATTTTATTCAACAATACAATTAAAATGGTGATTAATCACAACTATTTTAATCTCATGATTAATTACAATTATTTTTAATTGACTTAAATTTAAATTTAGTGTAATGGACTATGGTAAAATTAGGTGGTAGGCTGACATTTTAAATGTACTTAAAAATTTACATAATTTAAATTAAAAATTCCAATTTAAATACAGGTCTGACTTTTTTTATTTAAAAATTTGATTATCCACATCACTCTGCTAGTTATAAGACAGCAGAGAATTAAGTCTACAGACTTACATCGCCAAAAGTGTGGGTAAAGGAAACAGTAAATCATTTTGCCCTTGTCTAAAGTAACAAACATCTTGTTTTATAATTCACCACCGGTGTTTGTGATGGAAGTTATATTGTAAATAGGATTAAATTGATTTTACTTGAGGTTTCTCAACTTAAAGTTTACTAATGTAGACTCAGCCTTTAAACCCAAGTAGAACAAAGTAAAACTGAACGCTTTCTTCAGCTAAGATGCAAGAGAATAGAAGCTGTTTGCAGAACAGGTGGTGTTGCTACAGATTTTCCTTTTATTAAAAAAAGCTAATCAATATTGATCACATAGAAAATTTTTGCTACATGTGTGATGAGTTACTGATATTTGGCTAAGAGTGACCTTAGAACAATAACAGTTATTTGTGGCCACAGTCCACTAGAAACAGTCCCCACATGGTGTAATAAGGAGGTGAATGAAAAGGGAAAGCTTCATTTCAGAGCAGCAGGTATTTCCTTACCTTAGAGATCAAAGTGATTGAATAACATTCTTTGCAGCATATTTATGTATTTATGCTCTAACTTAGACACAGATCTTCTGCACTTGTGAAATATGGAGTGAGCTGTTACTGTGTTCTCTGGAATTACGCCATCGCACGTAGATAAAATGGCAAAGAGAGCAGGTGTAACTGTTCCCAAATCCACTACTGTATTCACAACTCGTTTTGTTAAATCAGAAAGCTGTTTTCAAACTTGTAATTGGTTATTTAAGAAATATTCTGAGCAGTCACATGCATTTTCTGTTTCTGTCTCAGGCAGAATAAAGCAGCTAATGGGAAAGACTGCAACATTTCTAGATCGGAGCAGATTCTTTAAATTGGAAACATCAGTAATGAGAGAAGCAAGTCCACTTAAGTTGAGGAAATTGACTTTATATAACTGCATAAAACTGTAACTCCAGACTGTAGAAATAGCAGAGAGGAGAAGGTGGAGCAATTAAATGCATTAGAAATGCTGTTGTATGGAAATGCTAGAGCACTGGTCTACTCTCAAACTAGACTGGCTGTAACAGGAAAGGAACTTCCAGGATCATGGTCTCTTGAAAGGTGAGTTGTAAACAATTAACAGCCCCCTTCTCTTCCCCCAGGAGTCTTGAAATACAGTATTAACCAAGACTCATTTTGTCCTGAATGCCTGTCCTGCCACTGCAGATAACTTTATAGAAGTTAAAAAATTGTTGTCAAGTAATGCAAAATGCCTAAAGTTTTCCAAAATCATGCAAAGTTAATACTTTTAACGTTTGGACTGAACAAGAAACTATTTGGCGCAATGTAATGGAAGTTCTGAAAACACTGCTATTTTAAAATAAAGCATTGTGTGCATTGGGTCCTATCACTTGATTCGCCATGACTAATAACATACAGTTGAGTGGAAGATACCTAATGATATGATTGTTTATGAAAACCTGAAGAACAGGATGTATCAGGGAACTGATAAAAACTTGTGTTATGCGCTTTAAAATTTTATTTTACTGCTTACAAACAAGTTTACAGGTGGCTGAGACTGTTTCAGAAGTATCCAATGTTTTTTACCTCAGCAACTGTATGTCCAGGAGTAAGAGCTGTGCCTATTTTTTTTTTGAGATGTTGATTTTTTTTTAATAGTGTTCTCAACAAAACAGTTGCTAAGCCACTAAGCAAGTTTTATCTAAGTTCAGACTTGATATGCTGCTTGTTGTATTTAGGGTCCTGTATAGAAGCTATTGGATCATTGAGGGTATCTCAGTATGCAGGTATCAAATTGATTTTCCTCTAAGATGGATTCAAAGTTTTTGGGGCTTGTGCTGCAGTTTCACCATCCCTCTCATGATTACGCTATTGTATGTGAATTGACTGCTTGCAACATTTGCTTCCTGCTTTTACAAATATTGCAGTCAAACTGGAAATAGAAAATGAGCTGAGCTGTAGTTAAAACATTAAACCTTATTCTTCTGTTTGTACCTTCTGTAGGCTGGAGTGAAAGGGACGTTAGGAAGATTAGTAGGAATTTTTGAGGTAAGTTTATTAATATCGCTATTTAGGTTGTAAGATCTTGCTGCAAAAATGTCATTTTAGTGAAACTTCTGTCTAAGCTTGCAGCTGTATGTGTGTTGGCCAAACTAGACAACCAGGTTTGGAGAGAGCACTTTTTTAAAAGTGTGCCCTGACTTTTTTTTCAAAGGTTCTGAGTGCTCAGTTTCAGTTAGGAAGACTGGTGATCAGCAGCAATCAAAATCACATCTTTTATTAAATAATGCCATTCACCAATAGCAAGATTCATGGAATGGTGTTGGGCTTACTGTGTGTGGACCATTGTATGGTACTTCATCCTTAGTTTATACACACTAATCCTTTCTGAACAAATGTCTTGATCTTGAAATGGAAAACGACTGTATACTAAATAGCCAGTATTTAAATGAAGGCTTGCACTATCCCATCTTCTGAAAGCTGCTTTAAGATTTCCCCCTCCCACCAAAAAGAAGGGTTTAGGATTTTATTTAAGTGCTATGTTCTTAACAGGATTATAGCAAGCCTGTCCATTTTGCCTTTCAGAATCAGGACAGGAAACACAGAACGTATGTTTATGTACTCATCGTCACAGAAGTGTTAGAAGACTGGGAGGACTCTGTCAATATTGGTAAGACCTTCATGCTTGGTAATACTTCCTTCCATGCAGAAACATGCCAACTCCCCCACCCCTACAATAAGTGATTGTTAAAATAATTGAACTCTATTGGCTTCTTCTTTTCAACGCAAAAATGTGATCGTGTTTTGGATTCCTTCTTTCCTCTCTGATCCTTGAGTTGGCTCTGAGTGTTTATGAGGACTTGTGTTTGGCCTAGTCCTGAAAGCTGTGCATTTGAATTATCAAATCCCTAAATGAACTGAGTTTCAGAATAATTCCTGCAGGATGTTTGCCAGCACTCTTAAAACCCCACATATAATTGGGCTCATCTTGTTGGCTTTCCCCAGAAGAGGTCTCAGTACAAAGAGGCAAATGCTGTATGTGAAGATTGAGATGATATGGGGGGAAAAGCACTTCCTCATTCTAAACCAGGTTCCAGAGAGTGACATAATTTCCTCCTCAGGAGCAAGTCATTCAAAAAAGAAAATATTTAGATCATAGGTTGAGTTCTAAATTTATATTGTTTTTTCTATCCTACTCAGAACTCATGGAAATAACATTTTTCAAAACCCCACCAAAACTCAGGAGTCTCAAACCACCATCAATTGGATTGTGAATTTAATACCCTAATGATGCATCTTTTGTGGAAGCTTGAAGGCATCTGTCATACACTTGGGTAGGGTGACCCTTCTGTGGCTATGAGAACAGAAGACTAGTGAGAGAAATCTCTTGGGATTTTTGAATTGGCATTGGGCTGCAAGATCACTTCATTGTTGAATGTTAATCACAGTTGATGTGGACAGAATGCTAGTCAACTGCAAAAACTTCACAGAAGGGATAAATGCCTATCTATAGTTCTTATACTGCATTTATTAATTTATTCCTCTACCCACAGGAAGGAAAAGGGAATGGTTTAAGATAGAAGACGCTGTAAAAGTTCTGCAGTACCACAAACCAGTGCAGGCCTCATACTTTCAAACCTTGAGACAAGGCTGTTTGGCAAATAACGGCACTCCTGTCATGACCGCTTCATACTCTGACTCTAATGAGAGCTCTGTGTCTGACATCAGATGACTGAAGACGTCCCTATAAAAGAGAGATTTTTGGAATATAGACTGAAATGTGGATTTCCCTCTTCTTTCTCCTACCCCCTTTCACATGCCTCCTCTGAACAAGGCATGGGCAGCAGCCTGTGGCAAAGCAAGTGTTAAGAATGTTGCAGTTTAGTGCAAGGTGGGGTTTTTTGCTTTTTCTGGATATGTATTTTGTAAAATACATTTTGTGCATGAGGTGCCCCTTTCCTTTTACACCGCTACCATGGCCTGGAGAGTGACGCTGCTTGTTTTGCCTCTGCCTTGTGTTCTGAAGTGTTCCCGTATGTGTCATCCCGGCCATAGCCAGATATTTTTCTTTTTTAAATTAAAGACTGCAAATGTGAGATCAATTCTTTAAGTCTTAGTCTGTACTGTAAGGTGCTGTTCAGACCTGTGGTGGTCACTTTCAGCGCATATGTATAAACTTTTTTTTTAATGGAGGAATCTAACTTTTTAATTTTGCAGGATTTTTTTAAAACCTGGACTACTTGTGAAAAGAGGGTTTCATAATCGGTTTGCCTTGTTTTTTTAAATACAAAACTGTTTGTGACCATGCTAGTGGTTGGGCCAGTTTACTCTTCCATAAGCCCCCTTCAAACTTAGCGCCGATGACATTTTAAAGTCAGCAGAATTTTGATCGCTGCAAGCATCTCTGATGCTTAGTATTTTCTCCTACAGTTTCAGCCAATGTTTCTGCTTTTATATTAAAATGAAACACAAGGAATTGGTTTTTACCACCCAGCCAAAAGCAAACAGTCTCAGAAAACCACTGATAGAAACTGGATTTTGGCCTCAATGGTAGACATCAGGGGATTCAAAATGAGGTTAAAATCTAGCCGAGCTGTCCTGCTGTTTTGGAATTATTTCCCATCTTGCTGCATATTGTTAATGTCTCTTCTTGTCCACATGCCTTACAATATGCTGAACTGAGTATTGTAATTTGTGCTACAGGATCAGATTGTACTTATTGAGTGTCATTGCACAAACTTGTGGGGACGTCCCTGGCATATCCCTGAAAATAAGTCTTTTTTGGGAGGGGAGTTCAGGTTTGAAATCTCTTGTATGTGGCTCTGCAGCACTTACCATTGCACCACAGAGCATGCCCAAAATGTTTAAACTCTCATCTTCTGAGACAAAGGTACAGCTGGCTTCCATGCAGAAATGCTAGTGTGGAGAAGTATGCATCTAATAGGATAGTTAACCTGATGCATTGGCACACTTCATGATTTTTTTTGTTTATTTTTTACTGATGTAAGTTTCATGCTGTCTTGATTTGCCAACAGTGTTGTCTAGTTGGAAAATAAAATGGAAAAAGGGTTGGGGTTGGGGGTCGGAGGGGGGAGGGA